TAATCCAACAGTCATTGTTTATATTTTACGTGATCGATTATCAAATATATTGTTGTATATACTATATACATAATATAACGATTAAAATTACTCATGAGTCATGATCATAACAATATTAACAGCTAGTATTACATTTTATATTATTACATTTACCTCGTTATACCTGTACTATGTTTGTTGTATATAGGTTACGTCTCTATACAAATAAAAGTGCATAACAAACATTGAAAAACTAAAATAAAATAATAATACGTAAAAYAACTTTTTATACATATTATATCTTGTTTAAATTAACTTCTGTTTTAATCCTAAAAAAAGACCACAAACTCCAGGCAGCTATGGCCGCTATATTAGGTAATAGATAGCAACAGCAACAGTAGATGAGATTACTTTTTCTATTATGTATAGCTGGTAATACCATTTGATATTTGGATGAATTAATTGTTTAATAGAAACTCCATGGTGGATCTCATCCATAGGCGCAAATCGCAGGGGGGCTAAGAGAGCTAAGCGCCCTAAAGTCATAATTATCCCCCCCCCAATTTAATAGTGCCCCACAAATTGTTAAAAACTCAATGCATAAATAGTCAGGGCTTAAGCCCCCCATCAGATTGAACCAATTTGCGCCTATGTCGCTATGTTCTTATATTTATTTGATATGATGAAAGTTGTATTCGAAAAAAAAATAAGGTTTGTGAGGCCCTCATCTCGAGCAATGTCATTTACAAACGACCCTATGCATACGTCATGACACACCTCGTGGACTCGTGTACTGCTTATGTCTCTGTCTTACTATCGTATAACGTGRMGAATTTAGATCCAGCTGAYTAAATTTTATACTTTTATAAGTGGTTAATGGTTAACTAAGCTAAAAGGACGCTCCACATGCCCATGAGTAATTTAATTATAATTAATTAATCAAGAAACGACTAACGACGGCACGATGCAAAAAGTAACAATATCTATCAAAATTACAGAATATCCCATTAAATCTGCCTAATTTATTTTGTGTGATGCAATATTCTTTTATAATAGTGTGTTACTTTAGATTTCCGAAAGCGACAGAAACGTTATAAAATGGAACACATTGTCACATTGACCACACTATATAGATTATATAAATAGAATAAATACGGTGGCGTGTATGTGGTCGAATTCTTGGGGAGGGAGCTTATAAAAAATTGTTACACATCAAGCAAAAAAAAAAGGTAGTTAAAAAAACGAACTAATATAAGATTTTAATATTGATGTTAAACGTCATAGTAGTAATTAAAATTTATTCTAAGATTAATATCAATTGATTTTATTAATTGTATTGCAATTAAAAATTAATAAATTAAAAGTCGTTACCAAGCTATTATGAGACATTTCATATACTGCCCCCCTCCAGGAACAAAACCTGATCCAATAAAATATGTAAAAAGTTATTTTTATATTTTTATAATAATTATTTACCTATTTAAATATACCATTGTGCCATTGTTTTGTTTAAAATGTAGGAATAGATGTGGTAAAACAATGTTACTAAGATAGTTAGCTTAATGTATTTACTTTCAAATGTTCAATGTCCATACAAACACTAATATCTAGATAGCTATTTTGTATATTAGAAGAATAAACGAAGAAGACGGACTAATCAATTATTATATTATTTATTGTAAAGTAATTATTGTTTGTRAGCCGAAGGTCAAATGTGTACTTCACCGCGTATGTTATAATAAAAACATTAAAAACTTTATTGTTGTTTTGTTTGTAGAATAAACGATAGCGACGGCATTGGTAATAGGTACTTATAACTATCACTAGGAAAAAAAAATGATTACTATATTGTAAGCTCGTGAATAACGAACGTGTTTTCAAAATTAACTCCTTTGCTACAACAATATGGTATAGGTAATATTATGTTMGATAAAAACAGTTTCTTTATTATATAAAATATTAAGGAATTAAAAATTATATTTAAAAAATCAATAGAAAAACAATACGAAACTACTTATATTATTATTGATAAAAAATGATAAGATATTTTCGTTCAGACATCTTTTAAAGGCTCTGGMAGCGCGTCTCCGCTGCAGTTGAACACGTCGTAATCCTTTAAACCGACCATTTCTATGCTTGTTTCCCAAAGTTTTTTCGCTAACTCCGGATCTCTGGCTGCCGCTGACGGYTCTTTCACCTTACAATCGCTWAAAAAAATACCAAATTGTATACATATATAAATTTACAAATCATATAGGTATAATTTTTTAAATGTCGCTAAAATCCTTCGATAATATAAATTAAATACCTGTAATAAAGTCCGGTTTCTGTTCCAGATTTCTCGTCTATCGAACAGTATAAAGTGGTCTGAGCTCCTTGTTTCGGATTCTTGACCCACGGATAGAGGAAGATACGACCAAAGAACCACATACCCGGAAAGTATACTTGGTCGAGTGTTCTGGTCAATTCGGTGCGTACGATTCCGGGATGTAAGCTGTACACGTGAACTCCGGTCCCTAAATAAAAAAATGTTTTATACATCACGACCATCACGTACATCGTATATGGTAAATACCTGAACATGTAATATTGTATAATGTAATATAATAGTTAGAGATTTTGAAAGTTTCATTACCTTCGAGTTTTCGAGACAGTTCTTTTGAAAACAACACGTTGGCCAGCTTACTTTGACTGTAAGCTATAGCGGGTGAATAATTTGCGTCGTGATTGATGTCTTTGAAATTGATTGAGCCGACTTAAAGAAAAAAATACTTTAGTGATCCGTTCATGTGAGCTTAGAACTATAAAAAAATYGTATTTTTGGAGAATAGGTTTTACCCATGGCCCGACCCGTCTCATCTCGGAAACTTAATTGTTTTATTTTTAAGCAGTATAATAATATAAAATTATGTTGAACTCTGTTTTGATTTTTTCTGAAATATTATGTTTGATTATTRGTTKTTACCATCGATGTTTTACAAAGGTATTATTTTTCATAGCACAATAGGCAATATGTTAAAAGGAACATAATTATTTAAATTTAAAATATTGATAKGCGACGTGGTGGTTGTATGAATTKGTTTGACGTTTTAAATGYTAAGTACATACAGCTTGACTAAAAAATATTAGTCATCTCTCCCCCTAAAATCCTTGAAGTCAGATCGTCTAATTGTATGGATCTRTTAAGGTTATTATACGATATTGTATGGAGAATGTCGTGTAACTTACATACATGTGCCAGAGACGCCACGTTTACAATGCGAGCTGGCGTTGAATTTCGGATTCTTGGCAACAGTAGCAATGTGAATAGAAAATGTCCCAAGTGATTCACGCCAAATTGGGTTTCAAATCCATCTTGGGTCTTACCCTTAGGGCACGCCATAATGCCTATAATATTCATTAAAATTACATTTCGGAAGTTCTATAAATACAATTTATTTAAAAGTGYAACAATATAAAACACGCATCGTGATGCATTGAACTGACCGGCATTGTTCACCAGCAGGTGAATATGTTTTTCTTTTTGTAAAATACTTTTCGCACAGCGTTTAATAGAAGCGAAAGATGCTAAATCTAACTCCTCTACGAACAGTTGCCCGACACCATCACCCTGCACTTCAGCCACGATTTCCGCCACGGCTTGTTCCGCCTTTTTAACATCCCTGCACGCCAATATCACCTTCGCACCTGAAATCATAGTTTATTTATATAGATGCAACTTTACATATTAGATATAATAAATTGTAATTTTACAGTATTTTGGAGTTTTGGACTTTGTTTATTATTATGTCCATGAATATTGTAGACCGTTTAGGGCTTACAAGACTGTTTTGATTTTATTTCTTATTGTTACATTTTCACAACACACAAATTGATACAATGATGGTAATACGCTTGTACCTGATCGCGTACTTATTAGTTTATCTCTAAGCACTCTGACACAGTATACTCTGAACAATACATAGTAATTAAGACTTAATAAATCATATGATTTTTTCGGTTAACATTACTGTAAGGAAAAAATTTAACACGTTTAATGAAAAGCATCTTGCTAGGTWATAAGTTATATCTTAAAATGTGAATTGTTGACAATTGAAAACAAACTCTGTAAACTCTAGTATTAGGTGCTGAGTGAACCTCGTTATTTAGTAAGTCACTATAATGTATATTATATTAAATGAGATTTACAYGAACAGAGTTTGTTTAGTCGTAACGGCTATGCGGACTGCAAACGTTTCACCCTCATACTCAAATTTGAAACGCTATATTCGTGACATGATAGCCATATTCTATTTCAATTAGACCGGGAAAAACAATTTTTGTACAATTTTGAAAACATCGTTTCATGGTCAACCAGTTTTAACACACAATTCTTTCGTCACTAAGGAACAACTTCGGRGACATCTTAACAACGATGAAGATTTTAGTTATTAATTAATAATATCCAAACCAGGAAAATAATTTTAAAATATATTTTATCAAACGATTTTATTTTCGTACAAGAGATGTTTAGTATAAGACAAAATTTTATTCTAAGGACGAGCAATTAAMTATTTTAAAAAGCTCAAAACTTGCTTTCAATCAGACCAATTTGCTTCAAAGTTAAACATAACGCAGTTAAAAAAATTTAAATRTGAATCAGAACGCAACATTTGCYATGTTTGTAAGACGGGAACAACGCACGTTGCTACGTTGGTATGGCGTCCTCTTAAAATATCGAATTATTGAAGTTTGATTCTAGGAAAATGTGTAGTTCGAAACACTTTAGCTGGAAAACGGCACACTACAGTCAAAGCCGGTGAAGTCTAAGGCAGTGGTTCTCAAGCTTTTTTGGTTCACTGCATGCAGTACTGCACACTAATATACATCACAAGTTATCGCGGCACACTCAACACAAATGTAATGGAATAAAGTACTGTTTTCAATATTTTTACCAGCATAATTAAAAACATTTTTTACGGCACATCGGTTGAGAGCCACTGGTCTAGGGCAAACTGGAACGTATGGC